AAAAAAAAATTTGACCTCTGGACTTGTCTTCACGGCGAAAATGGCTACCGAATGCTATTTTCGTGTGAAAATTCTCGATTTTATTATTTATATTATATTTAATTTTATAATGCTATAACTTATTGAAAAGTTTATGGATCCACACAATTTTTTTATGAGAAATAATATTTTTTAATAAACCCTTTTTCATTTGACATACTTTATCTTTATCGAGATATTAATAAGGAACCAGCAGATCAAGTAGCTTTTGGAATAAAACACCAATATTTTTTAAATTAAGCACTATCTAAAGATTTGCATCGAAGCGTTTATTTTTGATAGTGATTTTAATCACTGTCAGATATCATTATACTTGATCCAACTATGCCACATCACCACTGTGCTGCGACCCCCCTGTGCTGGTTTTTTTTTTATTTTAAGTAAATCATTAAAATTAATTAAGCTCTGAATATTTTAATTGTAGAATCTTTTTAAACGTCACAAGTTACTTAGAAATAATTACTATGATTTCTATTTAAGTGATCTATTACAATAAAAATGCAAAAAAAATATTGAGCTTTTTGATAAATTTACAGTAAATAGGTAATTATACAATATTATCTTTTTAATTCTCATAAAATTTTCTATTTAATAATGTCAATTTCAAACTTGAAGTTGAGCTAAAAGTTATGGTAACATAATTAATTTTTTTTGCTATGAATTTTCCAAAAATCAACTATAAAGGATTTAAAAATAGGTTAAAATGACATTTTGCACTGATTATTTTTAACATATTAAATAGTGATGGGAAACATCGAATAGTAACTATCGAACTATTCGATAGTCATTCAAAAATTATTTGAATAGTAAAAATATTCGATAGTCTATTTGAATAGTTTTTAAAACTATGCGGTACCTCCATTCAAATTGTTTTTAAAATATTTGATAGTTTATGATAAAAATAAAATATTCGGTGGTATAAACACAATTCGAATAGTTAATCGATAGTTTAAAATATTTAACACTAATTTTTAGCTTCGATGCGAAGCTGAGAAGGTATTGGTTTTACTAAGATGTGTTTTTTTTTTTTTGTGTCTGTTATCACTTTTTCTCAGCTCTCATCGAACCGATTTCTTTCAATGATACGTCAAAAGATCACAAATCGTATCTAGTCGAAGACATTACCCTTAAAAATTGAAAAAAATTCCCTCGTTCCCCGTAAAAGGGGGAAACCTCCAAAAAAATTACAAATTTAAAAATCGCTAATTTTCGAAATTTTTTCAATTTTTTTTACTTAAAAATGCCATAACTTTTTCAAAAATGAACATATAATAATAATTTTTTTTATATAGATGCATGATATTATTACCTTTCATTTGGTATATTTTTTTTGTAAATTTAACCCTGAACCTGCCCACGAGGGGGGATTTCAAATGACAACTTTTTTACAAAAAATTAATTTTTTTCAACTTAACTTTTGAAAGTGTTCCGGAAGGTCTGACACTTTTATATATATCTTAAATTAAAGCTAATGTAATATACTTTATAATGGTAAAAAAAAACTTCGGACTTTATTTTATCTTCATGGTGAAAACAGACATTAAACTTAATAAAAAAAATACGATTTTTGTAAAAAATTTCTTTTTTATATTTTTATCTTTATTATGCTATAACTTTTTGAAAAATGTATGGATCATTACAATTTTTTTATGAGAAGTAGTATTTTTTAATAATCCCTTTTTCATTCGACATACTTTATCTTAATCAGGATATTAATAAGGAACTAGCAGATCATGTACCTTTTGGAATAATCCACCAATTTTTTTAAAATTAAACACTATCTAAAGATTTGCATCGAAGCGTTTTTTTTGATAGTGATTTCAATCACTGTCAGATATCATTATACTTGATCCAACTATGCCACGTCACCACTGTGCCGCGACCCCCCTGTGCTGGGTTTTTTTATTTTATTTTTTTGAGCAAGTAAAAATAATTTTAGAAAAATTTTGTGAATTTTAGAAGAAAATATTAAAATCTATAATTTATATTCTATACATTATTACGCTAAGTGTGTTAGTTTTAAAAATAATAATCAAAAACCGAAAAATTATTTTTTTGAAAGAATTTTCAACCCCGTTTCGTACCTGAAGGGGAAAAGTTATCAAAACCAAATTTTACACAAATACCTTTCATATAATAAAAATCAAAATTGGCGGGTATGGAGATCTATTTACTGTTATTAATTGTATAATATTTTATTTTAAGTATTCGTTAAATATCTTCTTATTATAATTAAGTGTACTTACTAAAAATTTTAGATAGAACTAATCGAATATTTTTGAAAACTATTCGATAGTTTATTCCAATAGTTTATGCTAAAAACATACTATTCGGTTGTATAAAAACAATTCGAATAGTTATTCGATAGTTTAAAATATTCGAAGATGCCCATCACTAATATTAAAAATCAAAATCAGTAATAATTTAAAAACAAATTTTTCATTTTATTTAGGTATAAATAAGTAATTTAATTGTTTATTATTTTAATGGCTAAAAACTATCGTAATGTGTTAAGTTTGCAGTTCATTAAACCTTATTGTTAATCAATATCAGTCATTAAAAAAAAAAAAAAAAAAAAAAAAATTGTATTTTTATATTCTTTTACAGGTGCGAAATAAAATCTTTAGAACTTTAAATTCAAAATACAGATTTGCTAATAATTATCAACAATTAACGTTAAAAAACAATAAAAAATTATGTGACAAAGAAAATAAAGAACCTTCTGGAGAAGTTAAGGACTCCAATAAATCTGAAGAGCCTTAAAAACCGGAAGAAAAAGACGAATAAATAAATAATTTATATTTAAATGTATAAATAAGGAAATTTTCCAAGTTAAAAGGCTTAAAGAATTTTTGTTCATTTTTAAAAAGTGGTTTAAAAAAAAAAAAAAAAATGTTGTATAACCTTTCAACTACGAAATTATGGAAACCATTTTTCATTTATTAGAACTATTGTTAAGTATACTTACTTTGTATTTAATAGATACATACAGTATACAAAAATTATATACTTTAATATGTAGTTTGTATTTAAATAGTAAATTAATTAATTCAAGTAAAAAAGTAATATTTAAATTTTAGAAATAAAATTCCCAAATTTTCCAAAAGATAGATTGTTAACTTACGGTTATTTATCATGTAAATGATTTTGTATTAAAAATACAAATTTGGAAATAGTGTAATTGCTTGTGTCTTTAAGATTTAACTTTGTCTATTTATTAATAAATTGTATTATTTATTTATTTTATAATAAAGTTTTTTTTTTATTAATTACGAATATTTTTTACTTTGACGACCAAATTCTCATGGTAAAATAATCGTAAAATATAATTTTTTTTTAGATATTGTAGTATAATTGAAAAGCTTTAATGTGATATAAGTTAGAAGTTTCCATACCTTTTAAAACATTTACAAAAAACCACTTTCAATGTTTATGTGGACTCTTTCAAACTCTTCCCTTACAGAACCAGCGAAAGGACATAGTCACTAATGCAATTACTTTCGGACATTCAGTTCCTTTCAAAGATATACATGGACATCCGGTTCAACTATTATCAACTATTATATACACATAGATAAGCTACGGTAGTCAGATTATTTGCATCAGATGTTTTGTTAATTTATACATGAAGAAATAGTGCTACATACCTCTCGAAAAATATTAAATATGTAATAATAAATGACCAGCTTGTTGATTTTTACACATAATATTTTTCATATAGTTAATATTTAGATGATAGCCACGATTATCAATATAACAATATGAATATCGATAAATTATATATCCAATGTTAATAAGTATTTTTTATACGGTATAAAGTATAAATTATTTGTTGATCTCACGAAAAGTATTAAAATTTTTTTTAATCTTATTAAAATTGTAAAGTCATTTGAATTCACGAAATGTATCAAAAAAATAAATTACATAAATAAGATAAATTTACTATAAATAGTTATTATAAAATTTCCTAACTGCATATTAATCTTAACGATACAATTTTGTTATTTCTTAAAAAATGACCTATTTAATTATGTCAATTTCAAACATGCAAATTGAGCTAATAGTTATGGTAATAAATAAATTTTATTTTAATTATAAACTTTCTCAAAAATCAATTTTAATGAATTAAAAAAATTAATTAAATATGTCATTTTCCTTATTTTTAACATATTAATAATCAAAATCAGTATTAATTTAAAACAATTTTTTTTTCTTAATTATTTTTTTAATGTAAATACTTATTTTTTAATAATATTATTTTTAAAACTTAGAAGTGATAGAAAAAGTCCAATTGCATATTTAAATACATCGAGAAAAGTTGATTTAGAAAAGTACATTTTTGTTTCTGATGATAGTTCCTTGTAGTCCAGTGTATAAAACTCATAACTTTGTTATAATTAACAAACATTTTTTATTGAAAAGTATTGCATTAAGCCCTTTAAATTTTTGTACGCGTTAAAAGTAAAGAAATATACTACTACTTTATTATTTTTATAATATATCCGTAAAAATTACAATATTAAATTATTGAATATAAATTTCATACTAAATTTAATTACTAAAATTGTTATTTATTCATATATAATAATTATAAATTAAATAACTAATCGAGATAAAATTAAGGGAATAAGAGTTATTGTTGTTTTTGAATTAATCTATCAATTTCTTAAAATAAAACACTATCTACAGATTTGCATCGAAGCGTTTCTTGTGATAGTGGTTTTAATCACTGTCAGATATCATCTATATTTGTCCCAACTATGCCACTTCCATACTGTGCTGCGACCCCATTGTACTACCGTTTTGTTTGCTTTATACTTTAAAGAAAATAAACCGTATAGAAATTTTGAATAAAAAAAAGGCTCAAGATTAAAAATGTAAAAAAAAATATTACTGAATACCAATGAAATGATTACTTAGATAACTAATTCAGAAAAGGTCCGCTTTTTTCTGTCAAGGTATGATTGAGTACACGTAACACATCTCTTGCGTACGCTTACATTTTTGTTCAGTTCATTACCCTCTATGCTGATTTTTAAAATAAAGAAAGATTAAATACCGCCTTCCAAAAAAATATTCTATAACAATATATCTGTAAATTTTGTAATGAAGACCGTATGGAGTATGATTTTCCGGGGTCTATTTTATCCTTCAGTCCATCGCTAGCTTTAAAACTTTAGAAACATCGAATTTTTTTGTTTTATCATAGTTGTATTATTTTATAAAATATAATAAAAGAACCTATTTCAATCCATTTTATGTGAACGCATTGCAATTTTTTTGATACTTGATGTTAAGTTAAAATATAAAGGTATTTAGAAATTGCATATTAATTGTTAAAAAGTTATCTTTTGCAAATCTGCTGTACTAAATAATAATTAGTTTTTTATCACTGAATTTAATATTTTTGAATATACATTTTTATTTTGATATTCATACATTAAATATATATTTTATTTGTTATTTAAAAAAAAAAAACTAAAAAAATAATATTTTGTACGAGGCAGCTAGCCATTGGACGGCTAGTTGTGCACCGCACTAGAAGGTCGTTTTACCTTTAGCCTGTTTAAATCGTTATTATTGAAGGGGTTGCGGGGGGGCCATAAATACTAGTGCCCGGCGAAGCGGCATAAAACAAAATAGTTAATCTCAATTAAAACAAACGATAAATAACATTAAAAATAATATAAACTAATTTGAATAGATGAAGTTGTTGATAATGATGAGTGGACTGTATGAGATCTTGTGGTAATGGTGTCGAACGTCTGAGTATGACGAGTCAGAGTTTAAATCCAGGTACGTAACGGCAGATGAGAACAGACCGCGAAAAAGCGATTGCAGCAATGAAGATATTTAGTGATGGCCAGGGCCCAATCACTAGTGGCGCGCAAGGACACATAGACTTTGAGCACAAGGGTGCAATAAACAAATAAAAGAATAACGGCGTACAATGGCCGAACAATTTACCATTCAAGCGAAGGCCCTTGCTACAAAAAAACAATTGACTGACTGACATTCGACAATGAACTGTACACAGATGACAATTGACACGAAGGTCATCGATTTGCCGTGCTGGGTGGGCAAAGGGGTGAGTAAAGCAAGACGCTGGAGATCGCCTGTCACACCATATAATATAATATAATATATAATCAACGATGTTTATAACAACTGGTCTACTAAATTTTTGCTAAAAGCATTCTGTACCAAACATAAGTATTTTATTTGTTTATATATATGAAATAACTTTTAATTATCTAATTAAGAAATAATTAGTTTATGAAAATAAAACTAAGTTTATATGTTTAATCTCATAATTTGAAGTATATTGAATTATTGTAATAACCTAAGTCACTAAATTTCAACCTTATATCCAATAAATATTACTATTTTACTCACTTTAATAATTATATGATTACTATATTTTAGTTATACAAATTTTTAAATAATATTTTTCGTGCAAAGCGCTTGTCGGGGCCTATCTATAAAGATTGCCTAAGGATTATCACGCGCTATAGGCGCGTTAGATTCACAGCGGAGTCTAGTATAATAATATATTTGAAAATTTTAGATATAATTTTTAAATTATTATTACTATTACATTAAAAATTGGATTTTCAATTGATTTTTTATCTTGTATTTAATAAGATTTTATTAGAACTAAAGAAACATATTTTGTTTCTTCTAAATGTAAGTTTTTTTTTTGTTGTTTTAACTTATTTATTTAATAATAAATTTACGCTCCAAAGAGCAATAGTACAGATTAATATAACAACCAAGATATTAAGCAAACAAGAAGTAAAAACAATAAAAATAATCATTGGGTATACAATTATTATTAAATAAAAAAAAAAACCCCAGCACAGGGGGGTCGCGGCACAGTGGTGACGTGGCATATTTGGATCAAGTATAATGATATCTGACAGTGATTAAAATCACTATCATAAAAAACGCTTCGATGCAAATCTTTAGATAGTGTTTAATTTTAAAAAATAGGTGGATTATTCCAAAAGCAACATGATCTGCTAGTTCGTTATTAATATCCTGATTCAGATAAAGTATGTCGAATGAAAAAAGGGATTATTAAAAAATAGTATTTCCCATAAAAAAATTATATTGATCAATACACTTTTCAATAAGTAATAGCATTATAAAGTTAAAAATGTAAAAAATAAAATCGATAATTTTCACACAATAATAGCATTTGGTAGACATTTTCACCGTGAAGACAAAATAAAGTCCGAAATTTTTTTTTTACATAATAAAGTAGATTACATTAGCTTTAATTTAATATATATATAAAAGTGTCAGACCTTCCGGAACACTTTCAAAAGTTAAGTTGAAAAAATTAATTTTTTGTGAAAAAGTTGTCATTTAAAATCCCCCCCTGTGGGCAGGTAAAAAGTCAGATTTATAAAAAAAATATACCAAATGATAGGTAAAGACATCATGCATCTACAAAAAAAAGAATTATATTGATCCATACATCTTTCGAGAAGTTATAGCATTATAAAGTTAAAAATATAAAAAAGAATTTTTTTACAAAAATCGTATTTTTTTTATTAAGTTTAATGTCTGTTTTCACCATGAAGATAAAATAAAGTCCGAAGTTTTCTTTTACCATTATAAAGTATATTACATTAGCTTTAATTTAAGATATATATAAAAGTGTCAGACCTTCCGGAACACTTTCAAAAGTTACGTTGAAAAAGTTCTACTTTCTATATGCATTTTTATGTTTTGAATCCCCCCTGTATTTAGGGAAATGGTCCGATTTAAAAAAACAGTATGTCGAATGAAAGATCTATATAAATACTACTTCTCATAAAAAAATTGTAATGATTCATACATTTTTCAAAAAGTTATAGCATAATAAAGTTAAAAATGGAAAATACAAAATCGAAAATTTTCACACAAAAATAGCATTCGGTAGCCATTTTCACCATGAAGATAAGATAAAGTCCGAAATTTTTTTTTTTCATAATAAAGTATATTACATTAGCTTTAATTTAAGATATATATAAAAGTGTCAGACCTTCCGGAACATTTTCAAAATTTAAGTTAAAAAAATTAATTTTTTGT